AAAAAAAAAAAAAAAAAGAAACTAGCTGAGGGCCTGGATCCCACGGCAATGTCCTGCATGCGTCCAGCTGAAGACCTAGAGCTCATAACAATGCCCCCCCACAAATCCAACTGGAGGCCCAGAGCCCACAACAATATCTCATGCAGGCCTGTTTCACGGATCTGTGCTTCGAAGGCCCAAAGGTCAGTGGTGGAATCTAGGAAGTCTGTGCCAGCAGGATGAAGGATCTGTGCCAACAGGTTGAGGGATCCGCACTGGAGCCAGGAAGTGACACTCAGAAGAATCAGAGCTCCCACGAAAGGTACCACAGCCATCCTCAGCAACAGTGAGGTCCTGAGCTCCTCCAGTGATCAAGATGGCCGAGTTCCCATCAGGGAAGCCAATGCAGCAAGCTTTTCCAGGGGACCATCTTCCCCTCTGGAGCCGGGAAGCGATGCTCCGAGTGAGGACTAGAGCTCCCCCAAAGTGAACCAAAGCCATTCTCAGTGCCGGCAAGGTCCCCAGCTCCTCGGATGGAAGCAGCCAAGTTCATCAGGAAAGCCAGCATGACTAGCATGATGAGCTCCTCCAACAGAACCAACAGCTCCTTACAGCTTCTACCAGTTTCCAACAGCCTTTCTCCACTCCCAACAGCCTCTTTAATTCCCAAAAGCCTTCTCCTTCTTCTCCAGGTCTGCCTCTTATGCTGCTGGCAACAGTCCCCAGGTGGGCCTCCCAGCACCACGCTTACTCAGTTCAGCTGGGGGTTATAAGTTGACCACCAGTATCAATCCACTACAGACTACCAGGGCACAGCAAATTGTGACCATGAGTGGGGTTAATTTTTTAAAGCCAAGACTGTCCTATTAAAGGCGGCTCTTTGTTTTTGCTGTTGTGATTGTTATACTGGGCATTAATCACAGAGCCTTTGCACTAAGATACATCCCCAGCCTTTTTTATTTTACTTTTTAATTTTTTAAAATTGAGACAGGGACTTACTAAATTGTTCACACTGGCTCAAACTTGCAGTCCTTCTGCCTCAGCTTCCCAAAGTGCTAGAATTATAGGCATGTGCTACCACGCCCAGCTTGTGACAGTAGAATTTTTTGATGGTAATGAGATTCGGTGTGGACATGAAAACTTTCCATAGCACAGAGAAAGAGCCCCCCTTCTTCTCCTTCTCCTCCCACCTACCTTCTTCCTCCTCCTTGTGGTGCTGTGGATAAAGCCCAGGGCCTCAAGCACGTTAAAAAGTGCTGAACCATTGAGCTACAACTCTAGCAAGAAAGAATGTTTTTGAAAGATGTTTGAAGGTATCTTCATTGTACTAGCTTCAGTGACCAACATGTATTTGACTGACACTATGCACACCTTGAAACTTTGAAGCAGAGACTACCTAATCTATTTTATAAAATTTATTTTTTATTTTATTTTTTTTTGGGGGGTGGTTCTTTTTGAGACAGGGTCTTGCTATGCAGTTCAGGCTGGACTTGAGCTCACTTTGTAGCCCAGGCTGGTCTCAAACTTGCCATGATTCTCCTGCCTCAGCCTCATTACAGGCATGTGCCACCACACCCAGCTTGTTTTATAAAATTTAGATTGTAATTCCCATACCATAAAATTTACGTGTGTGTGTGTGTGTGTGTGTGTGTGTGTGTGTAGGTGTATGGTACTGAGGATTGAACCAGAGTCTTTACACTGAGCTACAGCTGCAGTATTTTTAAATTTTATTTTATACTTTGAGATAGTTTCTCTCTAAGTTGCTCAGGCTGGACTCAAACTTACAATCCTCCTGCTGTATATAAAATTTACCCTTTGGGACATGCACAATTTAATGGTTTTATAATATTCACAAAGTTGGTCAACTATCACTGCCATCTAATTCCAGAACAAGCTATTTCTGAAATTTGTAGTTTTTAAATGAAGAGGTCCTTGCATTTTGAACACATTTATAAAACATAAATGTGCCAGGCATGGTGGTGCACGCCTGCAATCCCAGCACTTGGAGGCTGAGGCAGGAGGATCATTGCAAGTTCGAGGCCAGCCTGGACTACATAGTGAGTTCAAAGTCAGCTTGAACTGCATAGAGAGACCTTGTCCCAAAAACAAAACAAAAAACATAAGCATGTAACACTTCCCCACTGTGTTCAAAGGCTGATTATTTGACAAAAGGGAAAATAGAAATATACTAGCGGGATTTTAACAAAAGCTTTCTCATAATTGGTGGCTGGAATTTAAAAGTGAGTGTAATGATTCTGTAAGCTCAGCTAATGATGGCCCTTCTTCCACTCAGCGTCCATATTTTTGTGACAGCCACTAAAACCCGGAATTGAAATAAACTGCCCTGCGAGCCAGGACTTCAAATGGATGTGTTATGCTGTTAAATGAAGGTTTTAGTAAATAAGGCAGCATAAGCATTCATACTAATATTTCTAGTGGGAGCAAGATACTGTTGTGTATCTTTGTAAATGCACAAATACATTTCTAATATTGCAAGATTTGCTGAAGAACTAGTTGGTTTCACCTTTTTGTAATTCTTCTAAGGGTTCTCACCGGGGCAGATTAGCTAGGCACGAAGTGTAGTGAGGCGGGACGGGACGTGGAAGGTTCTCACTGTAGGGAGAATTGTTGGAGTCCGCAGCTCCCTTCCAGTTGCTCCTCAGATCAAGAAAAAACTCCGTAGCTGTCTCTCCCAGAAAACGCCGGAGCGCTGTGTGCTAAGCCAGGCCTCGTCAAGTCCCTCCTCGAAGGCTTGCAATCACTCTGCCTAGAGTGCGGTGCCGCTCTGCCCTTCCCTTGTCCCTGCCTCTCCGGCTTTACTCCTTTCCTGATTGTGCGCTCTGACCCGGCCACTCAGCATCTCCGGCCAGCTGCTGCCTCAGCGCCTTTGCGCCGCTGTTCTGCACTTGTTCAGGACTCTTGCTCAGAGCCCGTCCTCAGCAGCTTCTCCTTGGACCCCAATCTGATTACCTAGATGGCGCGAACACTCTGGCCCCCCGCGCTTATGGCTTATGTTTCTAAAATTTATTACTGCCATAACTTTGTATAACAGCTTCTTTTATTACTGCTTTTTCTTTCCCATCAGACCCAGGAGGACGGGGAATCTTCTTCGGAGTGGCCCACAGGCTGTTCTGTGCTGCCTGCCCCGTCCGCAGCTTCCCAGGCTCCCCTTGACTTCCCCAGCCTGGTGTGTGTGATGGACCCACCGGGCGCTCTGATGGGGGCTGGGGTGTAGAGGTGGCTCAGTGAGGACAGCCAGAGACGGTGTCATGGCCTTGCTGAGACCCTGCAGGGTGAGTTGCAGGGTGAGTTGCACATGGGTTGGAGGTGTCGGGAAGCCAGGCTCATTCCCGGGTACCTGTGACACAGCAGTGACTGAAGTCACACGGGGCCCACCTCTGAGGCGGGGCCAGAAGTGGCTCAGCAAGGGGATGCTCTGGGCAGTGCCCGCTGGGTAGTGTGGGGAAGGGGAGTCCTAGAGCAGCACCCCAGGTCACAGGGTGTGGGCCTCTAGGCCTCAGCCTGCTAGGCCCCTGTGTCTGCCTGTCCTGGGTCGCTAGGGCAAAGTGGAGGCTCCTGAGCGCCCAGACTTGGCTATCCTGGATGGAAAACCCGGTAGGGACCCAGCAGGGGGCAGGCCGAGATGGGGCGGGAGGTTGAGGCTTCAATGGGGGCATCAGGAAGAACCCGAAAGGGGGCAGGGGAGCCAGTAGGGGGATCCAGGGTGAGTCTGAGGGGGACAGGTGGGGAGGGGAGGAGGAGTGGGGCCCTGGGGTGGGATCAGGGCGCAGCGGTGGCCCCCAGCAGGAGCAGCACAGTCCCCGCCAACAGCGGCAGGGAAGGCAGCGCAGCGTTGAGGCCCGCGTCCGTCTCGGCCGGGGTGTCGGTCCGGGCCGGGGCGTGCGTCGGGACCGGGGCGTGCGTCGGGGCCGGGGCGGACGTGGTGCTGTTCTGGCCAGGCTGCGGCAGGTTGCAGGGGGTGTAGGGCTCCAGGCAGCCCGCGAAGGCCATGAGGTGCGCGATGTAGCTCTGCTCCTGCACCCCGTGCATGAGGTGCGCCTGCGGGCCGCGCGCGAACACCGCCACGTCCTCGCCGCCGTGCGTCTCCGAGGCCAGGGGCACGGCCGCCTGCTGCAGGTAGTTGGGGTCGCCTGGGGGGACACGGTGGTCAGCACAGTGCGGCTCCCCTCCCTGAGCTCCTCTCTGCCCCTGAACCCCAAGGCTGCCCAGCCCCCACTCACCACTCTCCGACTCGGTGACATTGGGCCGGGGGACCTGGTCCCCGATGTAGCCAGGGCCATTGCCGTATAGGATGGAGGTGTAGGTCTTGCCGTCCTCGGCCAGGAGGGGGGCCAGCCCTGCAGGGAGAGTAGGACACCTGTTTCCCCTCTGAGCACTGCTTGGTCACCAGTGTACCCCTTACCCCCCACCTTTTGTCTGGGCTCAGGCTTAATCTTCCCAAGATCCCCACAAAACAGTACTATCAGTGTGCCCATTGGGCAGATGAGGAAACTGAGGCTCAGAGAGACCTTTGCCATCAAATTTAGCAACAACACCCATCACAGTCCCCAGACCTACCAAAGATGGAGGTCCCCCTCAGGGTGTAGCCCCCAAACGTGAAGACGTGGGAGTGGTCAGCAGTGACGATGGTCAGGGTGTCCTGCTCGCTGGTGAGCTGGCCGGCCTTCTCAATGGAACTGTCGAACATGACCGCCTCATGCAGTGCGCGATACGCTGAACCCTCATGGTGACCACGGTCGATGCGGCCCCCTGAGGAAGCCGGGGGAGACGTGACACTCGATCCATTTCTGGATGCCCCTTCAGCCTCGTTGTGCCAGGTGCCCCCGCTCACCCTCCACAAAGAGGTAGAAGCCGAGGGGGTTCCTGCTCAGCACTTGCAGGGCCGCCTCTGTCATCTCCGCCAGGGAGGGGTCCAGCTCAGGGTCTCGGTAGATCTCAAATTTCGTGTCAACAGGCTCAAAGAGGCCTGAGGGACGAGGGACACTATGGTGACTGTCTGGTGGGGAGGGGTCCGGGTAGGCATCCACCTTCGCTCCCGGGCAGCTGTCGGAGGCCACCTGAGGGCCCGGGCAGCAGGGGCTCACCCATAAGGTATGTCACCGACGGGTCCTGCGACGCCTGGAGGAGCTCTGCGCGGTTCCACACATACCGAGACCCCTGCCGGGAGAGGCAGGCCTCAGCCAGAGCCTGAGACCCATGGCCCTGGCCCCTCACAGCCCCGGACCAGCCCCCCATGTCCCCACCCTGTGCGCCCCCTCACCTGGTGCTTCGCCAGCCACTCCTGCACCAGGTTCTTCCCGTCCAGCCTGACTCCCGTGGAGTTGGCATCATCTGGGTACTCGGGGTCTGGGGTCCCCAAGGGGAACATGTATTTTCGACCCCCACCCAGGATCACCTGTGGTCAGAGGGCCAGAACAGCTGGGCTCAGGGCGTGAAGGACCACCTGTCCCCTCCTCACACAATCCCAGCTCCGCATTCACACACCCTCCCACCCCTGGTGGCCCCAGACACCCATCCCTAGGACTATGGTCCCCCCTTCCTCCCAATCCCTCCCTGTGCCCCTTTTGTGCGCACATTGATGTCCATGTTGGAGACAAGCTGTGTGGCGATGTCCTGGCAGCCCTCCTGGAGCGCTGAGGCAGGCATGTCGGCATCCGAGTACCAGTTGCGGTTCACAGTGTGTACGTACGTGCCAGCCGGTGAGGCATGCTGGACCCTGGTGGTGGTCACTATGCCGACAGACTTCCCTGAAGGAGGCAGAGGTCAGGATGGGCCACTTAAAGCTCCTGGCCTGCCTCTATTCCCAGTCCCAGCGCCAAGCACACCTGCTTTCTTGGCGCGGTACATCACGGAGAGGACCTCGTTGCCCCGGGCTGTGCTGCAGTTGTTGTAGCGGGCGGCCGCGCTCAGCCCGATGGTCCTGTAGTTGGCCTTGACCCCGCACAGGTACGCGGTGGCCGTGCTTGCGCTGTCTGGCACCTGTCTGTCCACACTGTACGTCTGGGGACAGAGACGCTGCCAGCTGTGCTCAGGTCAGAGCCCAGTTCCGATGCAGGCCTGGTCCTGTGCCCACTGCCCCTGTGCCCTTCGTTCGGCCCTGGCTCTCCCAGAGGCTCCCCTGGGTCACAGTGCCCCCCCCCCGCCCCTGCTCACCTTGGACAGCGCCATGTACGGTAAGTGGTCCATGGCCAGAGGCGTCTCCGGCCCCAGCTGGCCCTGCATCTGGCCCTTCAGGATCCTGGTGGCGGTCACTGTGGGCACCCCCATCCCTGAGGAGCAGAACGTGTCAGGCTGGGCCCAGGCTGGCCCGGACGCTCAGCGGGACCCCGCACACTCACTCACCGTCCCCCAGGAAGATGATGAGGTTCTTGGCCGCCGTCTGAATGGGCTGCAGCTTCTTAGCGGTCTCCAGGGCCTCGGCCGCCTTTTGGTTCCAGAAGGCTGGGTTCTCCTCTTCCACTGGCCAGGGGAGAGAGGTCGGGTCAGCCCGGGGAGGGTGGCCCGCTGGGTGGCTGGCTTTGTGGGGGACCTCATTACCTGGGATGATGCCAGGGGCCGGCTGTAGCCTGAGGCCCAGCAGCAGCAGCAGCAGCGGCGCCTGGGCTCCCTGCATGTCGGGGACGCGCTGGCTGCTGTGGCTGGGACAGCAGAGTGCGAAGGTGGCACCGCAGGGGAGCAACTCCAGCCCGGGCAGTCATGGTTTAAATAGGGGAAGACTTTGTTCCCTCCTCTCCTCTGGGTGGCCACGCCGACCCCGCCCCTGCTCTGTGAGCCAAAGCCCTACACAGTGAGGAGGGGCGGGAGGGGCAGGCAGCCTGGAGAGGGGTCCTGAGGCTGCTGGGATGGGCCCGGATGCCCAGGCGGGGCCCTTCTGCTATTTGAGGCCACCGGCCGCTCTGCTCACGCTGTCTTGGGGGGCCCATCAGTGCTCCCATCACCGCTTTTTTTGTTACTCCTGAGCCAGCTGGGGCCGCCTCTGCTCTGGATGCTGGAGGGAGGCGGGGCTTGAGCCGCACGGCCTGGGTCACTGGCTGGGTGTGGCCTTCAGATGCCACAAGCCCTCTACACGAGGGGACCGGGCTGCCCGGCCACCCACGTGGCCCCTCCTCAGGCTTGACCTGGGCTGACCGTGCAGGCTCGGGGCTGGGAGTGACTGCTGCGAGAGGGGTGAGGCTGACGGGACCCTGTCCACGGGGGGCCTGGCTGTGTCTCCGCTCACCGTAGGCCAGGCTGGGCCGGGCTTGCCTGTGGTTGCCGCCACTGTCCCGAGCCAGCAGACACGAGTGGCCCGAAGGCTTTTGCTCGGCAGGCTGAGCCCTGCTCCCTTTGCCGGGTAGGTGGGCACCAGAGGGGGTCTCTGTCCTCCACAGCCTGACACGCACAGGTGTGCCAGCAAGCCCACCTCTGAGTGTGCATCCACTGGAGTTCAAAGCAGGGAGTCAGGCGCGCACAGCAGTGCACACCTGTAACCCCGCCTATTCTGGCGGTGGGGGCGAGAAGATTAAGTTTTGCAAGACCCTGGGATGTACCTCATTGCTCCCTGAGTTTGATCCCCAGTACTGAAGAAAAAAAAAAAGAAAAAGCAAGGGGTGGGGACAGGTGTCTGTAGCCCAAGATCAGAGCAGCAGGGTTCACAGAGGCCAGTGCTAGGTCAGGAGATGGTTTTAAGTGTGTCCCCAGGGATCGTTTGTTGGACACCTGGTCCTCGGTGTGATGACACTGGCGGGGACTTTCCACGGTGGACAGCAGGGGGAGGTGATGAGGTTCTTCGAGGCGATATCATTAGAAGGGACGACAGAGCGAGACTGCTCTTCCTGTCTAGCCCGGCTAGACGCCCGTGACCGGATGTTTCCGCCGTGCGCTGCAGCCCGGGGAGCCCTCCTGAGAGTCCAGTGCCCGTCTGGGCCGGGCTGCCAGTCCCACAAGGACAAACACTGCACGGCAGCCCCTGGACACGGTGCTGAGAGTGAAGTTCCTAGAAGTGCAGGGTGCCAGGGGCTACGGAGGGGAGACGGGGAGCTGCTGTTTAGTGCGTGCAGGGTCATGGCTCTGCAGGATGACAAAGATCGGCAGTTCTGTCCTCAGCACACAGGTTTAAAAATAGACCTGGGGGTGTTCCCCCGCCTGCAGCGGCCCCTCCTGCTCCCTATGTCATCATGCTGTGTTAGGAAACCCTGTTTCCCCAAGTTTATAAAGAAAGGTCTTTACTTCCATATACTCATTCTAAATATCGGTGGGGTAGAGAGTGATACTTTGATCCTTAATATAATTTGGAATGAGGAAATTGGGGTCATTAGGTCTTTAATCTCCTTAAATGTTTCTTTGTTTCAGGAAGGGAAAATTCTTGGCTAAAGGTCAGAGGTGCTTAGCTCCTGGGCCAGCCCTTAATCAATTAATTGTTTCTATTTTTTTCTTTCCTTTTTCCTTCTTTTTTTTTTTTGCCGGCCTGCAGGTTAAAGGTTCAGGGCTCCATCGTCAGGCCCCACGCCACCCTTTCTTAAACTGGAACTTCGGGTCACCGGCGAGCCACAGGCAGGTCTAGAGGCGGGCGGGGGAGCAGCCTTGCTCGCTGGCTCTTCTAAACTTTTATGTCTCTAATAAGCAATAGCGCCTGTATTCTTTGGGGTTTGCACTTTTTTTTTTGCTTGGCCTCGTTGCCTGGAGACCAGCAGCCCCTCCTCTTGATGCTGAGGCGCGTTGCCTGGGGTGGACGCACTGCTCGGCCAGTTTCGGGTTCTGAATGTTCAGCCTCGGCAGGAGCCTGGAGATGCCCAAGACCGTGGTAATGCCGCCAGGTTCCTTGGGGGAAAAGAGTCCTGGTTTCCTTGACCTACCCTGGGGCTGAGGAGTACAGAGGATTTTTTTTTAGTTTGTTTTGTTTTCTTTTTTTGTTTGTTTTTCAGAACTAGGCATGGAACCCAGGGCTTTGCACATGCTAGGCAAGAGCTCTACCACTGAACTATGCTCCCAGCTCTTTCAATTTTTGAGACAAGGTCTTGCTAAGTTGCCCAGGCTAGCCTCAAACTTGTGATCCTCCTGCCTCAGCCTCCAGAGTAACTGAGATTATAGGTATATGCCATTGTGCCCAGCACAGGAGTGCAGAATTGTAAAAATACAAGCTTTAGGGACTCAAGAAGGACCAGGCACTTCCTAAGTCCACACTTACACAGAATTTACATAGATGAACACCACTGTCTTAGTTTTAGAGACACGTTTCCTCATGACATAGTGTTTTTGTGTTTATGAACAGACCCACATAGATATAGCTTCTCTACACTGCAGGAAAACAATACGCCAGGGTATAGACTCAAATTTCAGATTCTGCAATTACTCTTTCAGGGCTTTGTTTTGTTCTGTATGTGGTGTTGGCATCGAACCCAGGGCCTGGCACACGTGAAGCACATTTCTACACGGAGCTATTACCTTGGCCCCGAGGGTTCAGTATTTTAACTCATTCCAAAATAACTCAGAGTTTTCATGAATATTTACTTCTTTTTTTCCTCTTTCTTTCTTCTTTTATTTTGTTTGAGACGGAGTTTCTCTATGTAGTCTAGGTTGGCCTTGAACTTGTGATCCTCCTGCCTCAGCCTCTCGAAGGCTGGGACTACAGGGATGTGTTGTCATTCCTGGCTTAATTATAACATAATATAACTTTGAGATTTCAAGTCACTGGCAAAGATTTTTGAACAGGAATAAAAGTTCACTCACATATTTTCTGCTGTTTGCATTCACCTAATTTACTTGTTCTCACTCAAAAGCTTGCTGTGGAAGCTCAGCTAATCCATCCCCAGTCCACATCGTGGTTTAGAGTTTTTTGCATGTGAATTACTTGGAGCTGAAGGTCTTCAATAACAGCAAAATGCAGAGGCTCTCTGGGTATCCCTTCCCCCACCCAAAGATCAGCCCTCCAGAGGGGATTCAGTTGTTATCAGTCTTTTCCCTGTAATACCATTCTGTATGTTTTTATTTTTATTGACAGCACAAGTATCAAAAATGTCAGTAGGATAGTTTGTACGTAATAACCAAATCTTGGAAACAGCCCAAATGCCCATCAACTGATGAATGAATAAAGAAGATGTGATTTTTTTTTATGCAATGGAGTACTACTCAGCCATAAAGAAGGGCAAGCTTGAGACATTTCTAGCTAAATGGATGTACTTTGAGGCCATACTCTTAAGTGAAATAAATCAGGCACACATGTGTAAATACCACATTGTCTCTCTGGTGTGTGAAACCAGAAGTGTAAATAAGGACCAAAATAAATAATAGATACTGTGAAATAGGAAGAAAATGTTTGCCGGGCATGGTGGTGCACCCCTGTAATCCCAGCACTTGGGAGGCTGAGGCAGGAGGATCACTGTGAGTTTGAGGCCAGCCTGGGCTACAAAGTGAGCTCAAGGCCAGAATGAATTGCACAGTGAGGCCCACCTCAAAAAGACCAAAAAAAATTATTCAGAACAAAAAAGAGAAGAGGAGCAAGGGAGGGGGAGGAGAAAAGGAATGAAGGGACAAGGAAAAAAGAACAGAAGGAAAAATATGGAAACAAAGCTTTTGTAAATAAGAGGAAGGAGAGCTGAAGAGAAGGGAGGGGAATGGGAAAAAAGAAGAAACAAGAGATGTCATGTACAGGCACAAATTGTGATAATGTGATCATTATGTATACCTAAAATGGACCAATAAAATTTTTAAAAAGAAAAAAAATTAAAAAGAATAAAAGTGTCAGCCAGCACGGTGGTGCAGGCTATCATACCTGCAGTCTGGGAAGCTGAGGCAGGAGGGTCACAAGTTGGAACATTGCCTGGGCAACTTACTGATTTAGCAAGACCCTGATTCATAATAAAAAGTAAAATAAAAGGTCCTGGGTTGAAACTAAGTCCACTGAAAACACACACACACACACACACACACACACACGGGCACAGAGGCAAAGCATCTCAAAAGCTAACATGTCCTTGTCGCTCCTCTTTACCCCCATGACTCACATCTATCAAGTGCTTACTTTGCTGTGTGTGTGTTTTCAGTGAACTTGGTTTCATGACCTCGAACATCTAGGAGATAGCGAGCTTGTTCAGACACATCATAATAATGCTGACTGCTTCGCTGATTTTCTTGTTCTCTTTATCAATTTAAAAATTAGCTCAATTACCCAAGATTGATCCAAATCACATGAACTAAAAGACAAATGGGCTAGTGCATCACTTCACTTTTTGATATTATAATTAAATACCAAGAGCTTGATGACTTATAAAGGAAAGAGATGTGTTTAGTTCAGGGTTCTGAAGGCCCAGGGCATGGCACTGATGTCATCTTGCCTCTTTTGAGGACCCCATAGCTGATGGCATCACTGGCCTCATGGTGACAGAAGTATATTCAATTTTTTTTTTGAGATAGACTCCTATTATGTATTTTTTTTTTTTGAGATAGACTCCTACTATGTATTTTTTTTTTCTGAGATAGACTCCTCCTGTACCAGGCTGGCCTTGCTGATCCTCCTGTCTCAGCCTCCCAAGTGCTGGGATTACAGGTGTGCGCCACCATGCTTGGCCTCCCCACTTCTTAACCTTGTCACACTGGGGACCAGACTTCCAACACAGGAACCCTTGGGGACACACCCACACCAAACTGTGACAGAAAACACCCCCCCACCAGCCAGTATACTTCAGTTTCTTAGTTGCCAATAATAG